AAAAAAAAATGGCTCTTTGATATTTGTCTATAGATCTTTACGTGTACCAATGTTGAACTTCCTGTCTAAGTTCCATTATGCCTATTCTAGGATTCTCAAACGACACGAAAACCGCCAGTTGTTCTGGTCACACAACCATCAGTATCTGGTACCAATAAAACGGTAAATCCAATGACAGATTCTGCTGAACTAACATGTAGTAGCGCTGGTACTGGTAGTACCTATGAAACTGAATCAGAATATACAGATGAAGAAGGTGCTTATTTCTTCTGTTCTTTTTGTAGCTTTTACACTGCTGTTGCTGCTGTAAATCTACCAAATTAGATAAAGGTTTTTGATTATTTAAGGAATAGGTCGAATAGACGATAATAAGTAGGCGATCAGCCATAATAGTAACTAAACTTGGTGTTTATCAATTAATTTTTATATCTGTTAATTAGGCTTAGCTAGCAGAAATTTTGGTTTCTATAAATAACTCTTAACTTGTTTAACCTAAACTTAGTGTAAACTCAAAAAGAGCCAAAAAAAAACCATCATTTTTTTTTGAACAGTTGTCACTATTCAAAACCAAAAATTTTTTTCTTACTTTTGCACTATTTACCTATAATTTCAAATAATTTATTTATTTTTTACTACATTAGTGACGACAACAAAAAGAAAACTGTATGTAAATAGAATATTGAATTTGTTGTCTAAAATTGCATATTGAATGTATTTACTAAACGCGATATACTTTATCGGTTTTTGAATAGGACACTTCAAAGGCAGAATAAAAAAGTTAATCAGATATAAAGTTTTAACAGATAAAAATTTACAAATGTTTGTTCATTTCTTTTTTTTTTCCTTTTTTTTTTGTCATTTATGTGATAAAACAAATAATATAGGGTATTTTATCAGTGGTTAAAATAAACCGAGGAAGTAAAGTTGCTTAAGCTTTTAAGTTGTAAATAAAGTTTTTTAGCACAAAAACTTAAGTGGTTTTTTCATCTTTTTCTTTTTTCTCCCAGCCTACTTTCTTGCTCAAACTTTGTTTGCCAATAATAAATCTAACTGCTAATCGTAAGTTTAATGTTAAACAACAGAAGCCGAATAGTTTACGAAGGAAAAAGATTATTGTACAGCAGTAAACCAATTGTAAGCTTTATTCGTGTCGGTAAATATATCGTTTTGGTTGTTTGATTTTTCAGTGACACTGATAGTTTCCCTTGGTTTTCTAATCTATCATATGTAAACCATTGAAAAAAAAAAAAAGAGTTACAATTGTACTTAGTGCAGTTAAAGTTTTGTTTTTTTCTTTATTGAACAATAGTTGGGAGATCATTGAAGGTCATCTGAATTATACAAGACCTAAATTTTTGTTCTCCAAATACTGTATATAACGTTTTAAGTGAAACAATTGGAAAAAAAAAACCTTTTTTTGTTCTTGAACTGCTGCAGTGTTGAGACAATCAAGTTTGTCCTTTGGTTTAGAAGAAATGTAGAAAAAAACTCAAGCAAAGCAGACATAAGTATAATTTATAATGGAACACAAAAAGAAAAAAAAAAGGCGAGCAAATTGGCTCTTTTTTTGGGAGCATATTATTCGACATAGGATCTGAAAATAAATGACACTGATCTGATTGAACTGATGAAGTTAAAGTTTAGAAGATTTAAAAAAAAAAATTTTTTTCCGAATTAAATTTTACACTAACAACAATTTGAATTTGTATATATTTCAAGGCAGTTACCATGACTCAGATGTGGAATATTCAATATCTGAAACAATACCATTACGACGTTGTAACAAACTTACTGAAGGTATGTGCAAATAATTTCTTTTAATTTTAACTGTAAATTTATTGTTGAAACTATTTCAGCATTACTGTTGTTCACATCAGTTTGAACAACTGAAACAAACTGTTCAATCTTTTACAGTATTGCTGAATCAAAAAACAGTGTATCTGAATCGCAGAGATGACCCGTTGAACATTTTATTAACTGTTACTTCGCTCAGAACTGTTCATCTGTTCAATTTATACCAATCCATAAATTGTTCATTTTTATCTAAACATTCAGCAAGTATTACTCTATGTCTTTCTTGAAAGTGCTGTTAAAAAGATAGGCACTAAATTCCTTTCTTCTGCTCTGTTTATTCTCTCTTTTACCCAAACAGTTCTTTTTTTTAACAAATTAAAAACCGTTACTGACATTCTGATAACACTTGTCACTGAGAAACAAGTAAAAGATTGAACAACGACATTACGAGTAAGCGAAAAAAAACTACACAAACACAGCAACTTCTGTGTTTCTTTTTTTTTTTGTCAAAAACATTAAATCACTTTCCCTGTTTTAACAAACACTGCTTGGAAATTGATGATATTATGTAAACCAGATGTTTCCACTCAGCAAATTTCTTTTTTTTTTTAGGAACAGGATAGAAGACAAAAAAACTTATCTTCTTGCCTTTTTTCTTTTTTTTTTGAGTGGAGGAGAAGGAAGGAGAAGAAACATCCGTATAGTATCGGTTAAACATCACAACTTTAATCATCACAGATGATAAAGCTAACAGAGAAAAAAAAGGAACATACAGATATCTGTCTTACAGCTTGGAGACTTTCTTTTTTGTTATACTCTAAAGACACACCAAAACAGCTAAAGAGTTAATCAGAAACAAAAAAAGCACAAGCTTTTGGTATAAATATTATTTGTAAGAAATATTCTTCATTCTTTCTTTGCTTCTATCATTCTAAATTTTTCCACCTAAACACAGACAGATCTAAAATACGACTGAACAACGATTGATAGCGTTTTCGGCGCTCCCCTCCTTCCATTCGTACAAAAAAAAACCATTTTTACTTATTTCATTCGAATTTATAAAGCTTTTTGCTATTTTCTTT